TGGAGGTTTCTGAGCGCCACGTATTTTAATCTGGGGGGCGCTGCGGCTGCAGCTGGAGGTTACCTCCAGGCAGGTAGTGCTACTGCTAGTGCTAGTGCTACTGCTGCTTATGGTGGTGGTGGTGGTGGTGGTGATAATGCTTGCATTGGTATAGTTCGTGAGCTCGTACATTTGAAGTCCCTCCACGCCAGGTGGTCTCATTTCGAAGGTTGTCTGTGATAGCTCTGCAGCTGCGGCTGCTGTTGCGGCTGCTGTTGCTGCGGCTTTCTGGTGTTGGTTACGACAAGGACGGTGATTATGATCATAGTTAAATAATTGTTGATTCCGATTGATTGGTGCTTGGATTTGTGGGTCGTCTCTGATTGCCTGTGTGCACATACGTACACACATACATACATACAAAGGCAAGACAAGGCAAGGCAAGGCGTTCTCGTGGCTCCATTTTGATTGGTTCATGTTGCCAAATGCGGTGCAGGGGGTAGCGGGGGGGTGCAAGAGGTGTGGTTCCGGAGCCGCTGGGTGCCGTTTCCTCCTCACCGCTCCCCTCGCATCGGGCACATGATGGACAAATTGTGGCGCACACACAACCTGCGGTGTCACTGCGCTCGTGGTGGTGGTGGTGGTGGTGGTGGTGGTGGTGGTGGTGGTGGTGTCCTTTGCAGTGCAGTAGTGAGCACTTGCGGCTTTTTTGCGATTGCAACCACCTTAAGCATCGTGCCTGCCTAAGTGTCTATCTGTGTGTCTGTCTGTCTGTCTGTGTGTCTGTCTGTGTGCCTGTCTGTGTGTCTGTCTGTGTTCGCAGAGTCCATGTGACAAATCGTGGTCTGGTCCACATGTAGAAGCCAAGCAGGGGGAGTAGCTGCAGGCGGTGGGAGAGCAGCGAAAACTCCCTTTCGGCGGGACACACCTTTCCGGCTAGCCTGTCTGTCTGCCCGTTCGTCCGTCTGCCGGTGGCCGTATGTCCGTTTGTATGTGCGTAGAGGGAGAGAGCGAGAGAGTGTGTTTGTGTGTGTTTGTGTAAGTGAGATGCAGGAGCGGTAAATTGCTGGTGCACTGCCATTGCAGCCCATCAGCAATTGCGAATATGGGCACGTAGGGGGGTGGTTGGTTTCAGTTGTCCTCTGTGTTCGCCAAGGCCCCATCGTCGTGGGTGGGCGCCGGCAGTGGGGCCTGAAGGAGGGGGTCGGAGGGAGGGGGTCGGCGGGGCACTCCTTGGCCGCTCTCCGGCCGCAGCTAGAATAGAACCCCCTGGGCTCGCGTGTGGTTCTGTGTGTTTGTGTGTGTGTGTGTGTTTGTGTGTGTGTGTTTGTGTGTGTGTGTGTATTTCTTTCTCGGAACCGTGAAAAGATGTGCCCTGCCGCAGCACACAAACAGTCGTACTTCCTTCCGTACTTCCCTTCTTCGTTTACTTGTTGACTAGGCGCATGGGCATGGGCATGGGCACCACGCATCGTCGTCGTTCCTGCTCGTACACGTCGTGCTACTCGCCGTGTGGGTCTGCATCGCACATTGCATGTCATGTTGCATCTCCCCCAGTCAGCCCCCATGCTGCTGTTATCGTTCTTGTCGTCGCTGTCGTCGTTGTTACTGCTGCTGCTGCTGCTGCTGCTGCTGCTGCTCTTTTGCAGCCGCAAACTCGCAGTGGACGGTACGCGACGCGTTTGAGGCTGTGCGGCTGACCACGACGGCGGCAGCTGCCGGCGGCGTACCCCACCGCCGGCCGCTGCTCGGCACCCTCTGCATACGAATGGGCGATATGGGGATATGGGCATTTTCCTGAGGGATCTCTGGGGTGATGTCTCGCACCTGCGTGGGGGGCACGCCTCTCTGGATGTGATGTTCTCCAGGGGGGCCCACAGGGCTGTGTGGAGGTGGTGGTGGTGGTGGTGGTGATTGGTGGTGGTGGTGGTGGTGGTGGTGGTGGTGGTGATAGTGGTGGTGGTGGTGGTGGTGGTGGTGGTGGTGGTGGTGGTGGTGGTGGTTGGTGATTAGTGATTGGTGGATAGAAATTTGAGAGGTCGCGTGTGGGGGGGGGATGGGGCCAACGGGAACGTTTTGGAGGAATAGAACCATGAAATGGCGGTCGTTGCAATGCACAAAGTAGATGCATAATATAGTAGTACATGTTAAGACACCAATGACGATGGTCACGGCACACAAGAACAACAACAACAACAACACAAAACGGTTGAGCGGTGATGTGGTGGTGACTAGTCCACTAGTTGCGTTGCTGCATCCAAAGGTGCGCGTATGGCTCCACCTTCACTTGCGTGTGCAGGTGGCCCTCGTGTTTCCCTTGTGTGCTCTCCCGTGACCTCCTCTTTCCTGTGTTATCTTGTGCCGCTGCAGTACCCCGGCGGTTATGGCGGTTATGACGGTTATGACGGTGGCACTGCCGCTTCCAGGGCGCCGTACCCCGTGAACCATAGGGTGGTGTATGTGTGTGTATGGGTCGGTTAGTGTGGGGTTGGGTGGGAAGACGGGGGGATGTAAGGCCACGTGTGCAAGGTGTGGGACTGGAGACGCACACATACAGACACACACGCACACGACATGTACCTGCGTGGACGGGTCGGGGGGATTCCTTCGCGCCCTCAGCTCAGCCGCCGTGGTGTGTTTCGCTCAGGATGTGCTCTCAGGACTGAGGCGCTGTCGGGGGAAGGTGGGAAAGCACCCGCCTCTGCCCTTCTGGTCCCCGTGCGGTGCATTGCGCCTCACACCGCTCTATATGTGTGTATGTGTGTGTGTTTGGTACTTGTGTACGAGATGGTTAGTGATCCTGGTGCCGGACAGGAGACACACACACAGCCGGCGAGGAGAGGGCTTTTCCTAGAGCCGGGTGGTGGGTGGTTGGGGTGGTCATACGGGGAGATGACCCTGGCTGTAGCGGTGCTGCTACCCCACCGTGTGTGTCTGCAAGTATGTATCTATCTATATGTGTGGTGTCTTGGACGAATAGTGAGTACATGCCTTGCGTATGTTTTTGTGGCTTTTCCGCTATTCATTCATTCTGCAAAGAAAAAATACCTATCGGTTATGTTGATGGACGAGTGTATCCCCAACAGCGGAGATGGAGTGTCTGTGTATGCGTGTACGTGTGTACGTTTCGCATACGTATGTATGTATGTATACATGTACGTATACATGTACATGTATGTACATGTATGTACATACGTATGTACATACGTATATACGTGTACGTACATACGTATGTATGTATACATGTATGTGAGGGTCTGTATTATCATGGCAACTGGAGATGCTCCTGCGGGGGGTTGCTCTTGCCCTTATATGCATTATATGTAGAGGAGTGGTAACCAGGAGAGATGGGTTGAGGATAGGGACGGAGAGAGAGAGGCGGAGGGAGGGAGGGGTTATAGATTTGCGGATAGGTTTGTTGTGTATAGGGTGTGAGGAAGGTGGACATGGTGACGCGATTGTATAGAGGGGGCTGTATGTCACACGAACATGCAGTGCGATGTCATCTGATGTTTGAAACTGCAAAACAAAACCCCCGTGGCTTCCGTGCGTGAGGTCGAAGTGGGTGAAATACGGAGTGAGTTGTGAAGGGCTTCTAACTTGTGTACTTACTCCGCAGTGTACGGAATTATCGTATACGGCCATTTCTCAGAAATCAACCGTGTACTGCTGAAGGAGGTCGTGTTGAACGGTTACATGTAAAGTGATGTGCGGCGTGCCTGCCTGCCTGCCTGCCTGGGGTGAATATATGGTTGATGCCGCGGGGTGATACTGATGTCCCCGTCCGGGGGGTTGCACGGAACGGTAAAAAACCACCCAAATTTTCACCCCAAAATTTCACCCGTTTAATGTCACCCCACGTATCGCTGAGAGCGCACAACGACCCACACGTTGCAGTGTGGAATGCACAGCGCTCTGACGACCTGCAGAAGAACGCTGTCGCCTATCGCTGCCAAACGCAACCGCAGCATGTACGACAACAGGAATGCCACAGAGAATGAGAACATTGCAGCGGAACGAAAAAAAATAGGAGAAGCAGCAAGAGTTGCAAAATGCTCTGTCGGAATGACGCTGTCCCCACCTCCCAACAGAAGGTGCATGCCTACTCCCCTCCTTTTCGCCCCCGACCCCGTATTCCCCGTGCGACTGCAGCGCGGCGCATATAATCGCATCGTTGCTGCTCTCCTGCACATGACATCTGCATGCATTTGACACACACACATACACACACACGTACGGGCATGCATCGCATTTCAAACAGCCATGTCGACCGTCTTTCTTGAAGTCCCAGAGGCGTTTTCCGTTATTTGCCAACCAGTACTACAGTACTACACGTGTACTACAATGTTAAGAGGTGTCGTGCATACTAACTGAACTACTCGCATCTAGCCCCAAGAACTGCTGAAGGCGTATATATATGCGTATTCCATCCTTTCCACGTGCATCATATCACCACCACCACCATCACTACCACCACCACCACTACCACCACCACCAACAACAACATCAAGACATCGACATCGACATCGACATCGACATGGACATGGACTCGCAGACACAAACACATTACCATCGCAGCCGACGCCAGGGAGAGAGGAAAAGCCGCAAAAGCTCGCAGCTCCAAAGCCAATTACCACCGTACAACATATCAGCCGTACTGTTATGAACGGAGTGGTCCAGACAACAGTACATTCTTCAGGTACTCCTCAAACCGGAATTACCTGCTGCCGCGCTGCGCTTTTCACCACTACCTCACCTCACCTCGCCGCGCCACCAAAACCCACATTCGACACGTCCGCCCCCTTAAGCGTCCTGTAAATATACGGCAATGTGTTAGGCAAAGTACGACGCCGTACCCGTCGCCTGCGTAAAGCTGTCCCAGTCATCGGGGTCCATTTTCGCCCGCAGGTCCTCCAGCGACTCCGGCTCGTGGGTGCGGCGAAACTCCCCAAGCGCCCTCCCCGCCTCGCCGCGAATAGCCCCGTCGCGCTCTGCGCCGCCGGCAGCGCGCACCAGCGCCATCAGCACCGGCGGCAGCCATGCCGGCACGTCGTACGGGCACGACATCAGCAGCGCCGATAAGCCCGCCACACAGCCCAGTTTCTCGAGCTGAAGCTGCTGGGGACTGCTGGCGGCGGCGGCAGCAGCAGCGGGCCCGGCATCACCACCGCGGCGGCGGCGGCTACCGCCGCCGCCACCGAACAGCGCGGCGGCCTTTTCCAGCAGGCGGTTCCGCAGGGCCGTGACGTCTTCTGGTGCCGTACCGCGCAGCAGGCCGGACAAGGTAGCGGCCGCCAGCGTGCGCACCTCCGCTTTGGCGTCCTGGAGACGCGCCGCCACCACCTCCTGCACAGCGGAAGGGAGACCACCGCGAGGTGAGGTACGGTGGGGGTTACGACGAGGCGCAATGTCGTCCAAACAGCGTAAGGAAAACACTCCTAAGAGTAACACCCCCATCAATTAGTCCCCTCAAACCCCCCCCCCGGGTGTCAATCGAACCATTCACAACTCTGGTGGTGAAGTTAGGTGCGAAATAGGGGTTTATACCCTATACATACATACGTACATACATACATACATACATACAGGCAGGCGGCTGGCAGAGGTTAAGGCCTGACTTCTGCGCCCGGCCGACCCGGGTTCAAATCCGCCTGCCATCTCCTCGGGTGTTTGAGGAGTGCTATGATGGGAGGTGGCCCCCCATCATATGGACGATGTAGGACGTGATAAAATCTACTTGCGAGCTGGCCAGGAACTAAGTTGATGCGCCGTTGATCCGCTAGATTTGGTTGGATGCTGGTGGTGAGTTGCCGAACCCAACGAATACATTCTGAAGTCGGAAGGGGTGACGGATTAGGGTGCCCCTCTAGCAGGGGAGAGCAGGGACTGCCCCGGGAAAGGGGGCCGCTGGCGAAGTCAACCACCCTGTAACAACATACATACATATCCACACCCAAAGGAACATGCACTACAAAGAAAACTACCGAAAATAATGTTGTAGGGCTTTGGGGGGAAGTTGTAGGCGCGGCAGGGGGGCCAAGCAAGGCAAGACAGCAAGGCACCACAAGTAGGCGTTTGGGAGTAGCTAAGGCGGCTGGTCGGCCGTACACGGCCACCTGACACAAAGCATCCCGTACACCTGTCGTACGGCACCTGCAGTACTACACATGCCAATCCGAATGCTTCCCACGCGCCCCGCACGTGCGGGGAAGCTCACCTGGAGGTTCCGGAGCTGCTCCGGAGTCAGGAGCGGCGCATGGCGGAACCACAGCGTCTGCGCGTACGACAGGGCGGCGGCGCGGGCGCTCCAAGGGACTTCCACTACCGCCGCGGCGCTGAGCGCATCCAGCGCCGCCGCCAGCATGGCGGCACCGCTACCGCCGCTGCTGCTGCCCCCACTCGTTCCGCCTCCGCCGGCCGAGACGGCGGCGGCACTCGCGACGCTGCCGTCGGCGTGCGTGTTCAGGCTGAGGCTCCTAACCACCAAAAGCGTGGCATGGAACTCCCGCGCGAATTTTTGAAGCTCGGGACCTGTGCGGGTCATATTGTTGGATTATTCTTTTTTTTGAAGAGTTAAAAGTGAGTTTTAATTTATTCTTTTTGAAAGTAAATTTTAACACTCATAACGTGTAACCACCGCTGGTGTAAAAAAGCTGCTGAACCATTGCGGCTGCTGCGGAGCTCCGGGGCGAGGCGGGGGAGGGGAGAAGGGGGTTCATTGCAAAGCCCAAAGAAAGAAACTGCCCTAAGGCAGGGGGAGGAAAAGAAGGAGAGGGGGGAGAGAGAGGGAGTGGGAAAACAGGATGACATCCCTTTCGCCCTCCTCCTCTCCCTCCTTACCTTACGCACTTCCTCCCCACATAACACCCCGCACTGCACACTACACGGCACCCGCAGCCCTTCCCTCCCCCAACGCCCAGCTCCACCTACCCGCCACGTCCTGAAGTCTGAGCAGCCCGGGCAGCATCCCCACCACAAGCTCCCGCAGCCCCGGGGAGCGGTGCCGGGCCGCCGCATCCAGCTGAACTTCCAGGCCCAAACCCAGGTGCGCCACGGCGGCCGAGGCGCTGGAAGCGCCGGCGCCGCCGCCAGCGGCGGCGGCGACAGTATCCACGTCCATGGGTTCCGCCGCCGTCGCAAGCCCAGCAGCGGCACCGCCGCCAGGGGAAGTGGTTTCGGATGCCGACGCCGACGCCGGAACCGACACCACGTCGACGGCGTCGACCAAAACCAAATCATCTGTAGCAGCGCGTGAGACCGGCGAGTCGCTGGCTGCGGCGGCGGTGGCCACGCCGGGACTAGCGCGCGGCGATGCCGGCGGCGGGGCCACTGCCGCAGCCATCGTGTTCGCCTCCGCCGCCCTGGCGTCCTGCGCTTGTACGGCCGCGTCGTTGAACCTCGCCGCCACGGTCAGCGCCAGGTTGCGTGCCCGGGTGCGCAGGTCCTGCAGGCTGGCGTGGTAGCTAGGCAGCTGCGAGCCGCCGGGCCGCACCAGCAACATGACCGCACCCGCGACCCCGCCGCTGCTGCCGGCACCGTCCAGCTGCGTGAATCCCGCATGAAGAAACACAGTGTCACACACACACGGACACACACACGGACACACACACGGACACACACACGGACACACACATGGGCACACACATGGGCACACACATGGGCACACACACGCGCCGCGTTACATATCGCGGCACACATGGCTATACACAGCCACACTTGCGGTCAGGGACGAGGACGAAAGGAGCACTGAGAGGCGAATACAAAAACAGAAAAAACAAGCTCCTGCATTTTTGTTGTTGGTGGTGCTGCTGTGGGGTGATGGCGGCAGTGGTGGTAGTGGTGGCGGTGGTAGTGGTGGTGATAATGGTGGTGGTGGTGGCAGTGGTGGTGGCGGCAGTGGTGGTAGTGGTGGTGGTTGTAGTGGTGGTGGTGGTGAGCCTTCTAGTACCTCTACTGGACTCCGCCCCAGGGGCCCCAGCTGCCCACCAACCCATAAACCCACCCACACATCGTTTCAACCACGACCCCACTCTCCACCTCCACTCTCCACACACTCACCTCCACCTCCACCTCCACCTCTGCCGGCGTCGACACCCCGCTGGGCTCCGCGCTGACGTGGACGAGCTCGCCCTCGCCGTTGCTGCCATTCGTCGTACTACCACCGTTGCCGCCGCCGTCTCCGCCGCCGCCATTGCGGCCGCTGGGATCACCGCGTCCGCTGCCCCCCTGCTGCTGCTGCTGCTGCTGGTGGCGTGCTAGTGCTCGCAGCAGGACACCGTCTGTGGTGGCGCCGAAGTACGCCAGCGTGTCGGTGATGGGGCCGCGGAGCTGGTCTCGGAGGCCGAGGCAGTCCAGGGAGGAGCTCACTGAGTGAAGCTCGTCCAACAGGCCCCGCCAAAAGAGACGCACCTGGGGGGTTGCGGGGTTTTAGACGGGAAAGACGGGAAAGACGAACCACAAACGAGTGAAGCTGCTTGCGGGGGGGAAGGGAGTTGTACATGGCTGGGACAGAGTCGAGCCGCAGCACCAGGAGGGGATAGAGCGAGGGTATGGAGGGAGGGGGAGGGGGGGAGGGGGAGGGGGGGAGGGGGAGGGGGAGGGGGAGGGAGGGAAAGACGAACCACGAACGAAGGGGAGGAAGGGAGGGGAGAAGCGGGGGGGAGGGACGGAGGGAAGGTGGAGGGAGGAGCGGATGCGGCGTGGCGGCAGTTGCAACCCACCCAGATAGAAGACGCAACTGGCAGTACCTCTGTTGATCATATTTACTGAAGAGGCAAAAAGGAGTTTGTTTTTTGCGCATTTGTCAAAGCCACGATTTTAACGGCGTTCTGTTACATGTACAAAGAATCATTCCGAATACATCTCTCTTGTAAGAAGTATTTTCATTTTTCTTATATTTCTTATACACGGCCGGTAGCAAAGGGTAGAAGGGCGATGCGGCGGACCGCAGTAATGGGCAGACAGTCCTGTTGCAGTGCACATATACATACACACATACATTCACACTACATACATACATACATACATACATACATACATACATACATACATACATACATACATACATACATACATACATACATACATACATACATACATACATACATACATACATACATACATACATACATACATACATACACACACTCTATCTCTCACAAACACACTCACCCACACATCCCACCGACCATACTACACCTCACACGGGTATGTTGCCACAACACGGAGGAAGCCACAAACAACAAACCCCATTCCGGAACGGACACTCACACCCTGATGTGTCCTTACCGGCAGCGGCAACTCATTGCATGGGTCCAGTCTCGTCAGCTCCCGTACGACAGCACCCACGCAACGGAGGCGCTTGATGCGGGCCGGCATGCCGCCGCCGCCGCCGCCGCCGCTGGCGGTCACGGCGGTGCTACCGCCAGCTGCGGCGTTGACGTCCGCTTCCGCGGCCAGCGTGCTCGCCGCCGCCGTCACCGGCGGCGGCGCCAGAGGCGAAGGTACGGTAAGACGCAGCAGATCACCCAGCGCCGTCACTAAGGTACCATCCGTAAGTCCAGCTGCCAGCGGCGGCCGCGGCAGCAGCGGGCGGCGGTCCGCCGCCGCGCTAGGACCCTCTGGGACCAGACCATCTAGAATGCCGCGTACGGCGTAGCTACGATAGGCGGGGGCGGGGGGGTTGCAGGTTCCATAGGACAGAGGGTATGGGGGTTCTCTTCGACACTTTGAGGACAAAATCCCCCCGGGGGGATAGGGGGAACCCCAAACCCAAACCCAACCCTAGCCCCAACTGTGGGCACTCACAGACGGACGAGCGCGGGTGGGTGGGTGGGTATGCCGGTGTACGGAATGCCCTTCAAGATACGAATGCATGAGGAAAATATGTACGACGTGGCAAAGGGGGCTGTTGAGGGGGGCTGGGGAATATAGCGGGGGGTCAGGGGTGAAAGGAGTGAAGCGGGGGCCGAGCCGGGACACGATGTAGGCTCTCATGCAGGTACGGCAGCATGGCCATCCCTTCCGTTGGATTCAACAGGACATACATACACACCTCTCACTCACTGCTGCACTGCTGCACTACGTACCGGTACGACAGCGCCCAGGTCTCCGACATGTCCAGATTCGTACCCGAGATGGCCCGCGCCAGGGCGGCCACCGCCCAACCGCCGCCAACGCCGCCGCCGGCGCCGGCGCCGCTGCTCCCAGCACCACCTGCCGTACCTCCGTCCGCAGCCACCCACGGCGCGCCGCTCGCGATCAGCCCCGCCAGCACCTCCGCCGCCGTCGCCATCTCCGCCTTGTCGCCGCCCTCGCCGCCAGTGGCGGTGACGTGTCCAGCGGCCGTGAGTAACTCTATGTGCCCCCGCAAAGCGGACAGCATCTGCGGAAAAAAAGGAAGGAGGTACGGCGTACGGCATTACCATGTAAAAAGCCACCGCTGTGCAAAAACGCGTACGTCAGGTTAGGCAGAGTAAGAATAGCAGTCCGAGGAGGAGGACGCGGGACATGGCAGGGATTGTTCTTCACATTCATCTAAAACGCAACGAACAAGAGCTGTGTAGGACAGCAAGGATGGGGACCAGAAGCAACTAGAACGTCCTCATCCTCGTCCTCATCCTCTTGTCCTCGCACCATTACCACCACCACTACCAGCCTCGAAGCAAGAAAAATGAGAACAAGACTCTTCGAGCCGCGGCCAAACCGCCAAACCCGAAACAGAGCCCCACCTCCTCCGGCGCCGCCGCCGCCAGCAGCTGCACCAGCCGTGCATGCCGTACAGCGAACAGCCCCTCCATCACCGCCGCCGGCGTCGGCAGGCCGTCATTCGGCCACTTGGACAGTCGCTCCAGTGGCACGGAGGCCAGACCCCCCGCCAGCTCCTCAAACGTCATGCGGAGCACCCGCTGATGAAGGGCCAACAGACCGGCGCCCCTGTGGACCAAAGGAAGAGGTTGAAGGGGTTGAGGGGGTTTAGGGGGTTGAGGGGGTTGAGGGGGTTGTGGAAGTTGAGGGGTTAAGGCCCCTGCCTCCTAGGCCCTCCCAGCCCCACCCCCCCCCCACTCCTCACCGCTTGTCCTTCAAGGCCTCAGCGCTGTCCAGCTCCGTGTGGTTGAGAGCCAGCGCATGGATGAGCCTAAACCCCCAAACACTACCACTACCGCTGTCACCACCATCGCCACCACCAGCGGCACCTCCGCAGCCAGAAGATGGGGCTCCTGAGGCACCAGGAGGCGGCTCTGCCCCAGCTACAGTGGAGGTAGAGGCGGAGGCGGAGGCGGAGGCGGAGGCGATGGTCGCCCGCAAAACGTCCTTCAGCTGCGGCAACGGCGCGCCGTATTCCACCACAACACACAACGGCAGGAAGGTGCCTGTGGCGGCAGTGGCAGTGGCAGTGGCAGTGGCGGCAGTCACATTCTTCAGTTCGGTTCAAGAGGGTAGGTACACTGCGTGCCGCAAGGAAAGCCAACTACCCGGCTACTCGGGTATGGGTCACAGTCATTTGGGTGTACACACACACATACACACACACGCACAGCCACGCACACACACACATACACAGCCACGCACACACACAGCCACACATACATATACACACACAGCAACGCACCTGACAGCCCCAGCTGACGAAGCTGAGGGGCATCCGAACCCACCAGCAGACCTAGCATGTGTCGGAGCAGTAGCCCCGCTATTTCAGGATCCGCACCGCCAGCGCCGCCGTAGTCGCTGACGTCAGCGCTGGCGCCGTAACGGTACGGCAGCATCAGCGTCAACATGACATTGGCTATGATGGTGTAGCGGAACGGTGCGCCGCGGCGTGCCATCGCGCCCGGCCGCGCCACCTCGACCAGCGATCGTACGAGATCGCCGTACAATCCGCCGTTGACGCCGCCGCTGTCGGCGTACGACAGGGCAGGTGGATGCAGAAAGCGGCCGGCAAACGTGAGCAGCAAGTCGCCCAGTGCCTTCTGCGGTACGGAAGCGTTGTGGGTGCGTGCCGCCAGCAGCGCCGCCAGCGTCGCCCCCAGCCATGTGGGCGACCTGGAAATGAGGCGCCAGAAGTTCAGCGCCTTGTTCATGGTGTGACACGCACCCACAACCTTGCCGTCACGGTCAATCTCGCTGAGAGGCGGCGGCGAAAAAATGCACGCCAGAGCGCCGGCGGCAGCACCGCTGGCGGCGACAGCGGTGCTGCCGCCACCGAAGGCTGCAGCCCGAACGCTTGCACAAAAATCTGTCAGCGGCGGCGGCGACAGCGGTGTCGTCGGGGCCCAGTCGTATGGCACGTCCGCCAGCGTAGCGAGGAAGTACGGCAAGTACACGGGTGCGAGGCAGGGGAAGCGCTTGGTGGCGACGTCGACAACGGTGGCCGCGTTGCGGGCGAGAGATGTGTGCGAGTGCTGCGCCATCATGCACTGGGTGCGCAGTAGAGACAGGTAGGCGACGGGGAACTGCAGGCAGCGGGCAGCGGTGGCGGCGACGGCGGCGGGACGGCGGCGGTGTCGGCGGCGGTGTCGGCGGCGGCGACGGTGTCGGCGACGGCGGTGGGGACGGCGGCGGGGACGGAGAAAGAAAGAAGAGCACAGGAGGGGCAGCACAGGGGGCAGGTTCACTAACCCATTTCCGGAACGTTACGGGCGACTTCCCTCCCCTCCCTCCCCTCCCTCCCCCGTCCCCACACCCCTTTTTCTCGCACCTGTTCCAGCCGAGTCATTTGCGGATGGCGAGTGGTGCACCAAGCCGCGGAGCGGAAGGCGGCATCGGCGGACCGAGACACGAGCTGGTTTTGCAGTCGGGCCTGGACCAGCCAGGGGGGCATCCGCCGCCGCCACACCAACGGCGCCGAGGACGTCCAGGACTGCACAAACACAGCGGTGGTGGGAAGTCGGCTGGGCGGGAAACATGCGATGATGCAAAGGTCACGAAACGAGACAACTGCTGACGAGGGGCCGCGCGCGCGCGCGTGTGTGTGTGTGTGTGTGTGGCGGGGCGGGGAGGGAAAAAGTTGAACTGCAAAAGGCGAAAAAAGAAAACAAGCTGCAGGGGTCCCACACGGTGGCGGGCGGGGTGGGGGAGGGAGGCGGGTACTGGGAAGGACCGGCGCGCGGCGGCCGGAGCGGTTGGGAGGCAGGTAGCGGGCGCGACGGACATATATTCTTGTGTATGTATACGGCAGGCGGACGTTACCGCCGCCCCGTACAAATCGGGGGAGTTTAATTTACGCCGCTTTTGTAAAGGTGGGGTGGAGGGTATTGGGCGACACACCAGGGCGTGTGCCTGAGTGTGCCTGTGTTTGTGCGTTGTATATGTCTCTTTACCCCCCCCCCAACGCATTCCAGGTTGCAAACCCGAGGAGGACGCCAATAATCAGCCCCCACCCAGCCTCCCCTCTTCCCCCCTTCCCCAGCCGTAGCTCCCTCCCAGCTCCCTCCCAGCTCCCTCCCAGCTACCCCCCCCTTCCCAGCCCCCTCCCAGCCCCCTCCCAGCCCCCACCTCCGCCATGAGCCGGGTCGCTGCGGGCACATCCGATTGCGTGTCGTCGGTGGCCTTCTGGCCGCGCTCGTCCACCTGGGCCGCGTGCTCTATACTGCCCGCCGTCAGCAGCACCCCCGCGCAGCGGGAGGCCACAGCGAGCAGCTCGGGGTCGCCGGAAGAGCCGAGAGCGCTGAAGAGGGGGTGAAGGGGGGGAAGGGAGTTATGTGTGCCGTGCAGCACCGGGGGAAGAGGGGAAAGACGAACCACGAACGAGTGAAGCTGCTGCTGGAAGAGGGGCCGGGCGGTGATCACATGCAAGGAAACAAGGGATGAATGAGCTGCCGGCGTGCTAAGTCCAAAACTTTGATTCGGCTGAAGTCCGGAAAATCAAACTACCCCGTCATTGTTAGTGATGGGTGCGCTGTTTACCGCACCGCTACGCTGTAGGCCGTATGGTCATTAGCTTATTGGAATCCATTCCTTCTGGTTTCGCTCGCGTTGTTTAGGGAGGGGCAAAGCTTTACTTACAGCACTTATGCTGTAAAACAACGAGGGCCAAAAGCCCGAGTTAAATGTGGTCCTATGGACTTGTAATCTTTAATCTTTAATCTAGTTAGTTTTAGTGCTTTTTTTTAGTAAAAACAATTGGTGCGGAGGAGGCGGGGGGTAGGGAGGGACTCTGGGGGGGGATTTACGAAGGCAGAAGCCAAAGTGAAGAACAACTGCCGACATGAGGGGGGAAGAGGGAAGGGGGGAAGAAAGGGGGGCCCTGTTGCGACGTGTGTGTATGCGAGGGGGCGTGTGAAGAGCGCGTGGGTAATAGGACCGGACCGCCGGCCCTCTGCCCGGGGGGTGGTGTGTGTGGTGTATGTCTGTCTGTATGTCCGTACGTGCGTTTGCGTCCGCACATGTGCATGTACGTATGTGTGTCGTACCCTCTCGCACCACTACCACGTATACACGTGCCCTCACCTGCAGATGTCCACCAGGGCCTCCGCCAGCTGCTCCCTGACCCGTGGGTCACCCACCGTCACACCCAGACCACCGAACACTGCCAGCGGCACGCCGTTGCCACCGTCGTCATCGACGGCGCCGCCGCTACCGCTACCGCTACCGCTACCGCTACCGCTACCGCTACCGCTACCGCTACCGCTACCGCTACCGCTACCGCTACTGCTACTGATCGTGGCATCTCCGTTGGCGCCTTCTCCAAAGTGGAAGTCCCGCAGCATGGACAGCGCGTTGAGCAGCATGCCGCGAATCTGATGTTTTCCTCAATAGGGGGCCAGGACGGGCGCAGATAGGACAGAGAACAGAGAACACGGTGGCGAGGAAAGTTCGTTCGTGGCAACTGACAACAAACAACTGGCAACTGGAACAAAGCAATGGCTATAATTGTTTTTTCGACCCCTCTAAAATGGCTTTCGGGCACGTTCGGCGGGTAGCCCAGTCAACCATCTTAACGAACCCAACCGCTCCTCACCGCCCTTTCCCAAGTAAATCACATGTTACTTTATGGATGTGCTGAGTAGCGACGACGAGCCCCTCCTCGCGCACCCCCTCCATCCCCTCCACCCCCTCCTCCCCAGGTGTACTTACACAACCCCCCTCGGTCCCACCAACCCCTCCCCTTAACTCCCGTACATCCCAGATACCGTGCCTCCCCACTCGCACACTCACTTTCAGCAGCTCCCCCCGCACATGCAGCTTGGCGACAACCCCGCCGCCATCAACACCGCCCCCAGTCCCAGCGGTGGTGGTTGCGGCGGATGCGGCGGATGCGGTAGTAGTAGTGGCTGTAGTTGTCTGGGCGCCCCTCATCAGCGCCCTCAGTCGTTGTGCGGGTCTCAGCAGCCTCAGCCTTATCAGCTGGTTGGCCAGAGCCAGGTGCTCGGAGGAGGGACCTAGCCACCTGGGGAGGGATGTGGACGGACGCGGGAAGGGGAGGGGAGGGGTGCGACGAAGCACAGACGATTGACGGAAAGGAAATACCAGACATGGACGGATACTCCCAAGACGACGACGGGGACGAGGGGGTAGGGAAAGGGCAGCGGGAGAAAGGGGGAGTCATAGGCACCGTGCAAGGAGAACCCAACGGTCAACTGCCAAAGCAGCAGCTGCTTGGCAGTCCGAAGGGAAACCTCTTTCCCCCCCGGGGAAAGCGGGGGTTTCGGTTTCGGGGGTGTAAAAAGGCATGTATCTATGTATGTATGTATGTATGTATGTATGTATGTATGTATGTATGTATGTATGTATGTATGTATGTATGTATGTATGTGCGCCCTGCATAAATGTGCCGTATATATACGTTTTTCTAATGATCTGAGCCAACGAGGAGGGAATGCCGATGGTGCACGTGGACCATATGTACATATGTAGGTATGTGCCGTTTCGCAAGTGGTCTTTTTTGTGTTGAAGGTGGGCTGTGCGCTGTCAACTTATATGGTATTGGGTATGGGAAGCATGGGGAAGGGTGGGCGGATGTGGAGGAGAGGGCGGGACCAGGCCCTGGTGACGGACCGGTTTACGAACCGGTTTCAACACTGGTTTCGGAGGGGTGCCTGGAGGACTACAGCAACCCACATCACACCACCTGAAGGAAGCCCCGCGATAGGGAACTCTTCAACCCCCTCCTCTCCCCGGGCAACAAAACACACACGTGCACACCCCTACGACCTAGTTCCCACCAGTTCCCCAGACCTTGTCCCCCCCTTGTCCCCACACCCACCTCGGGGGCTGATATCCCGTTCCGAACTTGTCCACCCACAACTCCACACCTCGCCCCGGCACCAGCGGCACAGACTCGGGGTGACCCGCGGGTCGGAGCCAGGGCAGGTGCGGGTCCATCCAGTACCTGCGGGCCTCCAACCAACACAGGCAGCAGTAGCAACAGCAGTTGCAGCAGCAGTAGCAACAGCAATAGCAGCAGCAATAGCAAAACAGCAATAGCAGCAATAACAGCATGCCCAGTTTCGGGCGCAGCCAAATTCGCTTCTCTCCTCCTTTCGTGCTCGGGACCTAACCCCACATTCACGTACATTCACGTACAGAAACCACCATGTACGATAATTCTATTCAAACAAATAACAACAATCACGCACGTTACGACCGCCACGTCCTCTTCCGCAAAACCAAAAGCCGTACAATACCCCAATGGCGGCCTTCCACGTCCCCCCCTTCCCACACCCTGACGCACACATACACGCCTCCCACCACACCAGCACCCCCCAGGGCCCCCCCCTACGTACCTCGGTAGTGTCATCACCACCACCGCACCCAGAGTGGCAGCCTCCTCCTGCAGCACGAGGCTGTTCACCTCAAGGAACCTATCAGCCAAGGCCAAAGCCCGGGACGCTAAACAGCCCTCTGGAAGGATACCCACACCACCATCATCAGCGTCGTCAGCGTCACCAGCCCCAGCACCTGCCGACGGCGGT